TTTTTTTTTTTTTTTTTTTTTTTTTTTCGTTTGAATTCAGAATTGTAATTCTCCGTTTTTAGTTTACTGTGTACAAAAGGTTATTATAAATTACAAAAAATGTAGTATGCCACAAAACACTGCAATTGAACTGTTAAAATTTAGTCAGAGGTAGTGGGAAGAGCCCTTGTTATTTATTAATATAAATTAATTTTAGATTAAAGGAACTTTTATATTTGATTTTTAAGCTAATTGTTTTGCAATTATCATTATTTTATATGCTATTTGTAATTTGATTTATGCTATCAAAATATCTTGTATTTTGATAGCATAAATCAAATTACAAATAGCATATAAAATAGCATTTTTATTATTCTTTACTTTTATTATTATTATTTTGATAGCATTCTTTTTATTTTGAAGTCATTTTAGCCATAATTTATAACTTAATATAATTTTAAATTATAATGAAACTTTAAAAAATAATAAATATAATTTAAAACTTAGCATCTGCATAATATTAGAGTAATAATTAGTTGTGTTTAAAAGGCAATTTGAAAGTGGGTGTGGTGGCTTGTATAACAGAACAGGTTATATTCCAATTTTGAATACCATGTTCAAACTCATCAAACAGTTTCTTCTCTAGATAAAGTCACTAAGAATGTCTTTAGAAAATTTAAAAAATTTTTGTGATCCCAGACAAATTCATCCATTATTGCAATTTTTCCAAATACATGCAAGAGACACACAATTATTTGATATACCTCATCTTTAATTCTCTCCCATTAATTTACTGTATGTCCCTGCTTTAATTCAGGCATTATCAACCCAATCACTTCACAGGCTGCAGTTACAGAGGAGAAGGAGAAATGTCTCAATCTATCAGATGTATAAAATCTATTAACTTGGTAACATTGACTATGTCATGCTTTTAATGTACCATTTCTTGTAAGAAACCTTCACACTGGCAACTCTAAGATGTTGCATGGCAAAGTGAGTCTCTACAAGTAGGCAAATGTTCCTTTGGTGGCAATAATTATATTTAAAGCTTCATATACATGGTTATTGTGTATTAAAAGTCTTAAAATCTAGACAATTTATTGAAATTATCAATGATGATAATGTACTGTACCTATTTTAATTATGTGAAACAAGCATTACAATTCTGGATATTTAAGCAGAATAGTACAAGTAAGAATCAGTGCAAGCCACAAAAATGGGCTATCAGGCCACATGAAACTTGATGACTGTAGGTTGGCCAGGCCTACTTTAATTGATAATATTAAACACTGTTATGTTGCTACTTAATTCTGGCTTCCCAGCCTCACCTGTAATACATTTACATGAAGCCCTTTTACTTATAACGGAGAATGATTATTTTTGGTTTAATGGTACCATATATAAACAGACACAAGGGATA